TGCTCCATCAGGGGCCCTCTGTTGTGTTCCCTGTCAGGATGTTCCTTGGTGGTAGCCAGGCACCATCTATTTCTTCTGGTCTCAGGCTGATGAAGTCTCCGGTTTATGTGGCCGATTCTGTCTCTTGGGCTAATACTTTCCTTGTGTCTTTGGTGTTCTTCGTTCTCGTTTACTCCAAGTGGTTGGGACCAACTGATGCATCTTAGATGGCCCCTGCAAGGTTTTAAGACCCCAGAAACCACTCACCAAAGTAGGATGCAGAACATTTTCTTAATAAGCTTTGTTTTGCCAATGGACCTAGATGTCCCCTGAAAGCATGGTCCCCAGACCCCCTACCACTTGTACTCTGTCAGGGAGATCTTCTTAAAATACTTTCAATTTCATATGGTGAAGGGAGAATACATTTACATGGTCTACAAATTTTAAATATGTTTACAATCAAAGCTAGATAGTGAAGTCTTTCTCCCACCCATCCCTTCAACCACTCAGTTCTCCCCTCTCACTGATCCCCAACTTGTCACACAGTGGCTCCTCCTGAGTTGTCGGTGTCCTTGCATGGTTTCTTGCATTTCCGCCTTCTCAACACAACAGACACAACCCTGTCCTGTGCTTGTTGTTTTCATTAACCCTACGTCTTGGCTCCCCACATCACTACATAGAGAGCATGCTTATTCCTTTCTATGCTGTGTGGTATTCTACTGTCTAGACAGACAGGCCGTAATAGCCCCCTACTGATGGATGTTTGGCTTGTTTCCAGTCTTTTGCGATTTCAAAAGACACTGCCAGGCAAAACATAGTTTATAAAGAAAATGTTCTACATCCTACTTTGGTAAGTAGCATCTGAGATTTTAAAAGCTTGTGAGTGGCCATCTAAAATACTCCGCTGGTCTCACCCCATCTGGAGCAAGACAGAATAAAGAAAACCAAAGACACAAGGGAAAGATTAGTCCAAAGGACTAATGGACCACAAGCACTACAGCCTCCACCAGACTAAGCCCAGCACAACTAGGTGGTGCCCGGTTACCACCACTGACTGCTCTGACAGGGAGGGATCACGATAGAGGGTCCCGGACAGAGCTGGAGAAAAATGTAGAACAAAATTCTAAATCACACACACACACAAAAAAAAGAAAAGAATTACTGGTCTGACAGAGACTGGAGAAACCCTGGGAGTATGGCTCCCGGACACCCTTTTAGCTCAGTACTGAAATCATTCCTGAGGTTCACCCTGCAGCCAAAGATTAGACAGGCCCACAAAACAAAATGAGACTAAATGGGCACACCAG